AATTCTAAAAGAAGAAAATGTTACACTATATCCAAACTTAAACACCTGAGGACAGGCACTTTTCTAATGGTTGGGGGAGTGACATATCCATAGTCGCACCCACCCTTTAACATAACTTAGCACATAAGCATAAGCACAATTATAAACATTTCTAATATTGTAAACAAAGAGCCTGGTGATAACATCGACATTGGTCAAGATCAAACTGTCCCCCTTTGGTAGACATAAACAATTCACCCTAAATATCACGCCACTGTCAATGTTCCCATCAGAGTACTATCCCACGCATAATTGCTGACGCAGCTCAAACTTCACTCAATTTTGACTCAAACTCTCTCAAAGCGAAGTTTGCTAAGCGACCGCAACAGTTAGATAAATCAGTTCATATTCGGGAAGCAAATCTGAATGTACTCAACAAAAGTAGCCGTTAAGTGAAAATAATAAATTGAAATATATTTTTTTATAGTAACCTAACGTGTAAAACTTAATTATATATATAATTTTCTCATTTCTTTATTTAAGTTTCTCCCTAGTTACATTAAATTGAACAACTGCTGCTGGGCAAAAACAAAGGCGGCGACTGCAGTAAATACTTTTCTATATGCGGAGGACTAAAAAAAAAAAAAAAAATGTCTGTAAACTTTTTGCACGCGGCCCGCAATTTTCTCTGTAATTACAGCGAACAGCACACGTTGGCTGTCAGGGGCAACAGGCAGAGGTTAAGCTTTGTGTGTGTTGCGACTGGATTGCAATTTAAATGCGAAAATGCTGCAAAAACTTCACAAATCTCTGCAATCTTTTCACTCCGGCTCCTGCTCTTCCGCTCTCTCTCTCTCCCTCTCTCTCTGTCGCTCTCGCTCCATAGATGGTATCAATAATCCCCTGAAAGCAGCAATTAGTGAGCATTTGACATGCAGAAATTAGAAACTAGCTGGTAAATTTATGTGCTCGCATGTTAAGTACGGGGCCAGCGGCCAGCGTTGCCAGATAGCAAAAGTGGCCGCTTGTTAAAATTGATTGCCTGGACGAAAAATAAAACCTGGTCACACACACACACACACACACACACCCATCCACAACAAACAAGCTACACCAACTCATTGGTTAGGTTACCTTTGGGCTGGCAGCATTGATTTATATTTCTATTGACACTTAAGCCAAGCCCACAGCCCCCGTTTCGTCCCGTCCCGATTGGGCTGTCCGTTTTGTCTGTTTGCCAGGCGCACAAATTTGTCCTTGTCATTGTTTTACAAGCCCAAAAGGGAGGCTGCAGCTGGAGCAAGGCGCAGACAAAGACGACAAACTCTTCCAGTTAAGAGCACAAAGTGTATCGATTAAAACAACAACAGCGTGTCGCTAGTGCCCAACTAGTAGATACCCTGCAAGCAGCTCTGCTTACTCTCCCCTACCATCCTTACCATGCAGCGCGTGACATTCTGGAGTAACTTCGCTGTATATAGTCCGATATTTATGAAATTTGTGCGCATACCGAAGCGCAGAGCTCTAGCTTGCACAGTGAACTTTCTTCCGATTCTTGGATAAATGGCGGCAGGTATCCAGAAAATGAAGTATTTTTAATTAAAGTACTTTATTCAAGTGCTTACATACGAAGTTTGGTGTGTCTAGCTCTTATAATTCTCGAGTTACGCCCAAATAGCCATTTCTAAGAATCGATATTTATCGATACTATGAAAAATGAGGATTTATCGATATATTAAAAGAATATATATTACACAAGCTTTAGTTTGCAGCTTTTATATCTGGCAAGATTGAAGATCTCTTATCAAGAATATATGTAGCATATGCTCTATGAGATCTCCTGCTAAGCGCTGCATATTTCTCGACAAACCCATAATACACTCTGCCAGAATATTGGGACGAGATGAAACACGAGATTTGCGTTTAAATGTGGCAGGCAGCAAATGTGAAGTGACACTTGCACAACAAACAGACAGACAGACAGACAGACAGAGGGACTGTCAGACAGAGGGAGAGGAAGGCAAACGGAAGGGCCGACAGACTTGAAATATGTGCAAAAACATTTTGTAACTTACTCAGCAATTTTGAGGATTTTATTGGCCGCAGAGTTGCATTGCATGTTGCCATTTCCGTTTCCGTCAGCTGCACAAATGCACAAAATCAGACGAGTTGCCAACACAAATTAGCACTGAGGAACGCCGGAAATGTGCTGCCATGTACTGGGCCAACTGAACATGGAGGTGAACAGCAGCTAACTGTTCAAAATTACATATCCAGGCAGCACATTAAAGTGAACATGGCGGCGGGAGGAGCACAGCAGCCGAATCATGGAACACGGCTAAAATATATAAGTTCAATTATCAACAAATATATATATATATATATATATATATTTTAGAAGTGCCCACGATTCAGCTGCCAATATTCCGCACAGATCACAAACGAACATGGAGGTGAGCCCAATCTGAGCATGGAGCTGCGACGAAACGCGATCACATCTACTGCATATAAGTCAAGTATAAATTATATGTCTTAGACGCGATCACAATTCAGCTGCCAATATTTGTGGGCATAAAAGCTTCATTTAAGCAAAATTAAAGTGAACAACGAAACGAATCATGAGCCCAGCTAACACACATAAGAACTTGTAAAAAAAAAATTATATGTTTAGCTGTGCTCACGACTAATCTGCGCCTCTTTCAGTCACGAGCTATTGATTAAAGTGAACATGGAGGTGGACTAATGAGAGACTAATCCTGAACACGTCTAAAACATATAAGTTCAAATATAAATTATATGTCTTGGACATGCCCGCAATTCGTCTGCCAATATGCCAAGCAAAAGCTGAAAGTCAACGAAATCAAAGTGAACATGGAGGTGTAGAGCTTATACACTTACGTTTTCTGCGTGGAGCCCCCAAACTGAACATGGATGTGAGCCATAACAGACGAATGGTAAATCGGTCAATCTTTTGGATTCTTAGAAAAACTATGGGCTTTCCTTCGCAGAGCTGGCGTTTGGGTAGAGCTGAGTAGACGACTGAGGAACACAGCCAACACATATAATTATATATATACATATTATATGTTTTGGATGTGCTCGTCAATCATCTGCTAGAACACTAAAGAAATTCCAGGTAGCAGCAAGAGAATTCCAGGTGCGTCACAACAACTGAAAAATAGAAACAAAAGAAATTGAGAAGCAAATAAAGATATACGAAGTTTTTATACCCTTCTAGACTCGGTTTCAGGACCATCTTCTTCTATGATTCTATAATGAATCCCTCTACAAGGCTCTGGGAATAGTTTATCGAGCAGACCTCAAGGCTTATTGGCAAAGATGAGCACGTGAAGAGGGTGGAGTTAGAAAAGTTGAAGCATTGAATCGAATTGAAATCGACTTGCGTCCAATTAAACATTACTTCCAGTATATTAAATGCTGATTGGGAGGCTAATAGTCAGGGCTTTAAATTAAGCAGAGCCTGGCAGCTGGAAGGCCACAATTCGATTGAAAACTTATTTGCAGCTGCTGAAATCAAGAGCTTAAGCAAGAACTTGTAAAGTGAACATGGAGGTGTCTGATATGCAAATCTTCAATTTAAATAACTTTTTACTTGATTGTTATTGTTCTGGGGATATGCTCATGCATAAACAAAAGTTTAATGCCAAGCAGCTCACAGCCGACCTAAGCAGAAGTGAACAGCAGCAAGAGCTGGAGCTGAAAGTCGAACGCAGCTTAATTTCCAGGCATGAAATTGATGGTCGCCTTTGAAATGCTTAAATAGGGTATATATGTTTTATCTAAACGCCAGCAAGGGACATATTTTCTTGATAATCGATAAATATCGTTATCGAAATGCGCTCACTTGAGTATATCTGAGAGATTACAAGAGCTAGGAATACCAAATTAGGCACATAGACGCTTCTGTATGAATATAGTATATATTTCGATAAACTTGCCTGAAATTGCATATAATCGATAAATATCGTTATCGAAATGCAGTCTTTTGTGTGTTTTCTCGAAGCTTACAAAAGCAAGGAACAGCAAATTGGCAGCTAAATATTTTCAAAATACATCACTTTTTAAATGCCTCGATAAATATCGATATCGTAACGAGATTCTTTGTGCTTAGGTAAAAGCCAACAAGAGCTGGGAAAAACAAATTTGGCATAGGTGGAGAATATATCCCCTTCTATATAGATCGCATGCAAACGGCATATTTTCTTGATAATCTATATAAATCGTTATCGAAAAGCGATATTCTGTGCATAGCTCAGATGTAGACGTCTGTATAGTGCGGACTTATCGAGAACAAGTACACTTCTTGAATACTTCGCTGCGTTCCTGAGAATACTGTAAAATACCCTTTGTTAGAGCATAAGTCTTGGGTTGCCAAGTTTGATCCCTGAAAATTTCATAAGCATCGCGCTTAATCAAGAATGCATTTCTCATATAAGTTACAGGGCAGCTGTTAGCCGGGCAGACCTTGCCGCCTGGCATACTCTAGTTAATTATTGCTGACGCGAATTGCGTGCAACAAGTTGCACTCAAATTACATTTTGGCCATTTCAATTGAATTAAATTTGCGTTATTTGAGCCCATTTATTTGCGGCCAACGATGCCTGCGATCGATGGGCTTTTTTTTCATATATTTTCACACAATTTCTGACAACGTGACAGGCAGCTCTGAGGCAGACGAAGACGAACGTTGCCTCCATCTCACCTGATGGATGTATACACTTTTGGAGCTTAATCCGGCAGCAGCTGTTTCTCCAAAAGAAAGAAAGAAAAGAAATGAAGAGTGCCCCAGCCAAATGGGGCGTGCCTGTGTCAGCTTTCTTTGTTTGTTTATCTAACGAGTAAATACGATTTTAATTAAATGTAAATCACATTGTCAACTCACACAAGAGCAGAGGAGCAGCAGCTGGCATTCGTTTCTCATGAGTTGCTTTTATATAAGCACATTTGACTATTGTTTACCACAAGTTCACATTGTGCACACACACACACTCACACACTCACACACAGATGCGAGTGCTCATCCTTGAGAGGCTTGTCGGCCTGGAACTTCAGGCACTGCATGTGGAGCAGACCGCAAACTCCCTTGAGATTATTAATTAAAAGACAAGAAAACATAATTTCTAAATTTACGCACACTTTCACACACACACACACAGAAGGGGGTTCGGGAATTTAAACCTTTGCCTTTTCCTTCGTTGTTTTTTGTTCAAATTGTTGCACACGCGGCGACAGCAGCAGAAACGGAAGCGACAGGAAGACAGAGAGAGACAGGGAGAGAGAGGAAGAGCACGTGGCTGGCTGTGTTGCACAACACCGTGTTATAAATGCAGTTAGTTATGCAAACGTTGTGCAACACTGGCCAGCCTCTCTGTCATTCACAGGCTGGGCTGTACCAATCCTACCTCCCCGCCCGGCAAACTTTTTCACAATGGATCGCGCAACAAATACGAATAGAAATCCGCTTTACGCATCAATTCTGGAGCCGCGCAGACGCCGCGTCATATTCGAGCTGGCGGTCGCACCGGAGTCGCACATCTCCCCCCGGCCCGAGGACGTAAGTCTTGACACCGCTCCAATGAGCTTAATACTTATATAAACTGTGCATTCTTTTAGAACGGTGCCGCGTTCCGCCGTTTCGTGCTGGACGTGCCGAATCCGCTGGACAAGCGGCTGCTGATCGTCTCCCTGTTAAATGGGCCGGCCGATGCCAACTTTCGCTCGCTGATGGTCGAGCTGAATGGCGGCCTGCAGGAGGTGCTGCGCGCCGAGGCTGAGGCCGAGGCTGCAAAAGAGGAGGCTGCCAGAGTTGCCAGACCGATTCAAATTGCGTACAAGGAGACGAGCGTGACACCCGCGCTCGAGCTGGAGGGCGGCTCGAGCACAGACACCTCCTCCGAGACGGAGCACTCCCATTAATAGCAGACATCCAAATACCCTATGCAATAAACGTGCTGGCACTTGTCTGCGATTGATACGCAAATCGAGCAGCCATTTAGGCTGTCAGTTATCCATAAGTTATATGGATGTCTTTATCCATGGGCCAGCCAAGTTGGCAGCATGCCAGCGCGAGTCAAATGTGGGTGGCATGTTGCAGGTGTTGCTTGCGGCACACACGACTGACTTTGTCACTTGCTTTTTAACTGCTTCCTCTCTCTCTCTCCCTCTCTCTTCTCTCTCTCTCTCTCTCTTTCTCTTTGGTAAATCACAGGCAACTGCAGCCTGCAGGCGCTTTGCATCATCTGATCGCGCTTTTGTGTGAATGGCAAAGCGATAAGCGACCAATCAGCGCAGCTCCTCTATAACTGTGTGTGTGTGCTCCAGATTGGGCTGAAAAAGTGCAAGTCATTTACACACACTAACATACACTCACACACACACACAACCTCATTATTTGTGTAGACCTAGAGACCCAAAGCTATAGCTCGTTATACTTAACACAAATAGACATCATATATAAATGTGTGAATAATTAAATACTTTTTTGAGAATCGTTTCCAACCTCAATCTCTTATACATCTAAAAGGGCCAGAAAAAAAATTATTTAAAATTGCTATCACTTATCTTGCCTCACTTTATCGAATGCGAACTCCAAATATTGACAAGAAAACATATATATATTTATTCGTTTAAATTCAACGCATAGAAAATCGTTTCTAACCTAATTTTCGAAAGCCTCACAGCGACGCTGCAAGAGTAAATACGTATTTACCTTCTTTTGGCCGATCTCTTAGCGCATAAAAATGACATTTTATAAATGATGAGCCAAATGAAAGTGGATATTTATAAGTTCTTAAATATTTATTCACTGCACTTATAAGGTTAACTTGATTTGCGAATGCTGCGCGAGCAACTGCATGCCGACCATGGACGTGCGCTGCTCTTATAATCTTCGGGAGCTAGACTGAAAATATATATCCGAGCTGCATGCCGATAGTTATCGAGCTGGGGCCAATAATTTGGGCAGCTATCGAAGAAAGTAACATTTGTTGTTGACAATTCTTTTAAACTGAAGACTTGTCCGTTTTGCAACACTTGGAGAAACTAGCTTGCAGTGTTGCAAAGCCATCGAATAAATGTGCGAACCTGTACTTTGCAAACTTTCAACTGAAGACTTGTCCGTTTTGCAACACTTGAAGAAACTGGCTTGCAGTGTTGCAAAGCCATCAAATATTGTATTAGCGCAACGTACCTAACTCCATTATTCCCATTTGGGCAGCGACTTTTGGAGTCTAGAGAGGGAAGTGCTGGGCCAATTATCTAGTGCCTTGCGAGTCGGGCGATATCAAAGGAGTCTGTCCAGGCGTGTTGCCAAGTTGATAAAAGGCGGCAGCCAGGTCCTTTTTCTAAGATATCAGCACATGTCGTGGCTATGTGCGGGATGTCCTTTTTCATTTGAATGCCACGCAGCGTGACTTTGTGAAGGGGCGTCATCGGGCGAGAGCTCAAAGGCGGCATTGTCATCGTTTATGCCGTCAAAGTGAAAATCCATGCGAAAAATTATATGTCAAAGTTTCACTTTTGATATGCAGAGGCATTTGCCCGGCTGCCTGGCTGCCTGTCTGCCCGGCGTTGACATCATCTTGGCGCTGGATACAGCTCCAGATGCTCCCGCTCCCGCTCCTGCTCTCGCTCTCGCTCTGCAAACGTGGCATGCTCCAGTGGCGCACTGACAAAGACACATTTGCTGCAAAAGGGGTGAAAGGGATGCCAGAGAGGGGCTGAGGGGGTGGAATCTACCAATTACTCGAGTTACTGGCCCAGTCGCTCCCTGGCAGTCGTTCGCTCTGTCTGTCATTGAAACGTATCCGGCCTTTAGCCTTTCCTTTCCTTTCCTTTCCTCTGGTTTTTTTTTTTTTTTATATTTGCCTTGAGCTCGCCCGTTGTCCTTTTTCTTTAGTTTTGTCTATGAGACGGCGGCTTCCTATTCGAATGTTTTCTTTCTGTTGACTTTTCCTTGGGTTCACTGGCGCCAGCCTGCCCCCCCAGACCCCCTCCACCCCTCCACTCCTCCCACCAAAACCCACGAGCCGCACCCCCCGTTCAAACTGACGCATCGCCGCAGCCCGCAGCATAGCTGTACTTTAGCTTCTTTTGCTGCCCCACCCCCGAACCTATCCTTGCCTACCCTACCCACACCACACCGCTAACATTTTATTTCTTCTTCTTTCTGCTGACATCTTCCTGGCAGCATTCAAAGCTATGTAATCTACCCTACTTTACAGTTGAGAACGCAAAGAAAGCGTTGCCACACTGCACTGGCACGCCATCTGCCGGCTGCCGGCTGCGGTTGCGGCCTCTGCAGCTGCATTCAATGCACGCCCCCCTCCACCCAGCCCATAGTCCAGCACCACACGTTCCCTTTTCAACATGCCCCTGGCCCAATTTCGCATTCCCTTTGCACACTTTGGTTAATTTGATTTCGTAACAGCTAGGCTTTGATTGTGTATGTGTGTGTGTGTGTGTGCGGATGTGTTTGTGTGTGTGTGTGTGTGCTTCGTGGCAGTCACAGCGCGATCAGCCAGCGTGCAGCGTGTCGGCGTTTCGCTGCGGATGGCAATGCGCGCTTCCAAACATAGTCGAAGGAATTCCCAAAAAAAAGTCCACCTATTTATCATATTTAATTTTCTTTTTATGCTTTCTCAACAGTTTTATTATACCTTTTCTTTAGCTTTACAATTCATAGGAATTTTACATAATTAAGTTTTGGAAATATTGTAAGAAACAACTCAACAACAATCTTCCAAGCGTACGTCTTTCAAATAACCGAAGAAATCAAGAGAGAACTTTCTCTGTATAATTATAAAATAATTTCTTTCAACTTAGTTTAAGTCACAATTTTATATACAAATCGACTCGAGTCGCAGACCTGGCAACTATATAGATATGGAAAAAATGTATCTATTGATTTTTCTCAACTATGTTCTTTGCCTATATTAACAACATTTTCGCACTTTGTTGTTTCTTCTATCAAAATGAGAATATCTTAAGGTTTTTTCTTTTATATAGTTATCCGACCCGCTGATATAGTAGTCCGACCCGGCTGAAACCAGCTTGGGCACAGCTGGCCCCTGCGACTCGTCTGTCTATGCTTATCTAGAGTATAGATGCGTCTGCTACTCTGGCTGATGAATTTCGAATAGCCTCGGCTTGAGGCGAGCTCTTGTTATGCAGGATCCAACCAGCTTTCTGGTCGAGCAGCTCGCAAGTAATTCATCTTTTGCAATGCACTCGCTTCGGTTGGCTAATAAACGTTGGCTCCACAATTTATTGGAGTCCATTAAACGCCACATTGGTCGCTCGCTCTGATTGGCAACCAAGGGGGCGGGGGGGTGTGAGTGTGTGGAAGGGAGGTAGGGGTAGGGGGGTTGGTATAGTCTGGATGCCACGCGACGCCGCCAAGTGACATGCAATTTATTGCTGGGGCGGTAATTGGCAGTCCGGCGTGGGCGTGCTCCTTCCGACTACTGCTCCTGGTCCAGCTTCAGCTACAACTCCAGCTCCTGCTGTTTATTAATAAATTGTCACTTGCAACCGGGCAGCAGCAGTAGCAGGAGGAGGCGAGTGCGTTCTGCACTTTGATGGCAATGCCAGCGCCTGCTTACTGGACATTATTCTTGCCAGACGCAGCTGTGGGCAGAGAAGGAGCAGCAGTGGGCAGAGAGGGCGCAGCAGTGGGAAGCGAAGAAGCAGCAGCAGCAGCAGCAACATTGCCAATTAGCTGATATCATCGTTCATCCTGGCGTCTGTCGGGCTGCCGTTGCCTAATCCCTGTTTAAGCCTTATCGAAATTGTATCATTATCATATCGAGTGACGCCTCTCTCCCTCTCTCCCTCTCTCTCTCTCTCTCTCTCTCGCTCTCTCTTTCTCTCATCTCTTTGTACCTGAGGGAAATCTGCTCCAGCCGCATGACCATGTGACCGCCTTCGCCTCCGCCTCCTTCTGCTGCTGCTGCTGCTGCTGCTGCCCAGGCCAATCTTCGATTTTGGCACTAACAACTTTTCTACGACTTCTTTATAGTTGCTGCGCATTGAGGCGTTCGCCGGGAGCTCGAAACTAAGCTGCTTATTATCCTTTGGGAGCACCACACACACGCACACACGCACACACGCGCACACGCAGAGCATTAATTGGATTTTCAGCTGCAAATGAAATTGGAAGCCAAAATAAAAGCATCTTTAATTTCAAATGCCTCGCAACATATTCGCGTTTGCTAAAGTCAAACGTTTTACTTGCTTTCACGCATTTTCGCATCCATTCGAATTCAATGCAATGAAAGCAAATGCAAACGAAGCGCAGCGCAGCGTTGCCACCCAGCTCCAATTTAACAGCCTACAGATGGGCAGCACTCTAATCGGTTATTGATCAGATCTGCAAGACAAATTCTAATTCAAATACTTCAAACATATATCCTTATTTCTAGCTTACTTTATATATTTGTTTTCATTGGAAAAGCTTGCGTGAAAGCTTGGTACTTCAATAAGGCTGCCATCTAGTGGAAAAAACTGTTAGTTTGTAGAGATTTTACTGTATGTACCAAGTTTATTGCTACAAAATTTACACATTACCTTTCCACCCATTTTCCGTGTGAAATTGAATTCCAGTTCAGTGTATTCCACTTGAAGTGTAGCCTGAGCCTTGTTCACAAAACTATCGCACATCATTTTCCACCCAGAAGGCGTGAATTTTGCGAAAAGTGTGAAACTCATCTCAACTGAATGTTGGCAGAGATCTTTAAAAATGAATTTTCAGGCCATTGTCAACAATTGCCTCTGCCTCCATGGGCGAATTTACATTTTTTGACAGGCTTAACAAATTTTTACCAAGCACGCAAAGTTTTTACAGCTCGCTGTTGGACCACATGTGGCTGGCGAATGTCCACGCAGAGACGTTTACTGCCTCGCAGCATATATGAAGGCAAAAAATACCCCTCTTTTGGGCTAGTGTGCAGGTATGTGTGGTCAATTTTCTATAATAATAACAAACACAAGTAATTATAATTGAAAAAAGATCATAAACAGGCGTTCATTCTGTGTGAATGGCAAATAAAAGTGAATAATCTGGCAGCGCAAAAGTATGACCACATTTGTGAAGGGTGCTGACGAAAGAGAGAGAGAGATAGAGAGTGGAGCGCTTCAGGTAAATGGAACAGTATCCAATTTCAATTGCCTCGTAAAGCAACGCCTCGACGCTTATAGCTAATTGAGATGGGGATGAGTAGGATGACGTGGATAGGGAGGAGTTGGAGGAGTACAAAAAACGCGCATATAACTCATGCCTTTCTCTCTCTCTCTCTCTCTCACCCTCTCTCTTTGCAGGACATGATGGAGCTGCCAGGAGCGACAGGGCGGCGCTGGCTAACAAGCACATTAATAATATCTTAACGGAGACGTTGAAGTGGCGCCCACGCCCAGCTCTGTGTCCGTGGGCTCGGTCTGTGATCGCCTCCAGTGCAAAACGTGGCCGAGCACCAAATGCAGTTAATTAATCATTTCAGGCAAAAGTAGTTTGGCGCTTGATTTATTTTCGGCCATAAGAACTGGCTGCCAACCACAACAAAAGTTAAAGTTTTCTCTTTCACTAGTTTCCACGTTTTCCTCTTTTCCTTTTTATCTGCTGACAGGCAGCTGGAGACAGCCGCTGGCGCCGGCGCCCCGGGCTCGGCTCGCGTCTGGCGCCGTTTGCCGAACTTTTGCCGACCCCAAAAAGAAAATACATATATTAAAAAGCAACCATTTGAAGCGAGTCATCAGCCCGGAAAAAAAACCACAGACCGACAGGAAGTCAGGCCAAAGCAGTCGCGGTCAGGTCTAAGCGACTGCAAAATACACTATGTTCCCCCAAGCAGCTAAAGAAGCGTCCCTATGACTCTCAAACTGTGTCTCGTTTGCGACTGAAGGCGTGGCTCGATGGCAGGCTTTCCACAAAGTTTGATTGGCCTTGGCTGTGGCAGATTTCGATGTTTGCTGGGATGAATCAAGGATTTTTTCAAAAGCATCGTGACTCTGAAACTGTAAAGGCGTAATAGTGTGGGAGTGGGCGTGGCTCGCAGCCTAGACCAGCTCATCAGCAGACGTTACCAAAAATGCAATAGCTCTAAAACCGTGCAACATATGGATTTTAGTTGAGATGACTCTTAAACTGTTAATACAAAGTGCAATGGCTGTCAAACTGTGACTGCGTAAAAATGATTTCTGCGATGGTCAAGCATGGCTTGATATCTTAAGAAATTCAGCATAGGTCACCAAATTCCATGGCTCTAAAACTGTAGACCATTGTGAGTAGGCAGCTCATGAAGACGCTTTTCAGTAGATTATCTAAGGAGGATAGCGGGCGTGGCCCAGCCCCAACACCTGAAGAGAAGCAGCTTTAGAGAAGTATTCACATACAGATTGTTTGTAAGTTTTGAGTCCTTGGCTTTTAATTGACAGCTCATATGCCCCTTTTCGTGCTATCAACAGAGTATAAAGAGATGGTGAGGGAGGGGGAGAGAGGGGCTTGACATCGACTATGAGACGATTAATTAAACCGCAAGCGTTTAAGCGGCAAGCCGCAGCAGCGGTAATGCCAGCAGCGAGCAGAGTTTGCTTTAATTTGACTTTCACTTTTACACACAGTCGACACACACACTCTCTTTTATAGGTTATATTCTGGGCCCGGCCAGTGTTGCCCCATCGCGGCAAAGGCAATCAAATTTCGTATTAATTATGTGCTTAACCAAACACCTCCCAGCAAAAAGGGGCGACGGCTCGGAGGGGGCGGGCCGCTTGGATAGCTGGCACGTAACATTTGCTGCTGCTGTGCAAATTGTAAACTGTCAGCTGGGTCACGTTGCCTGGGATTATGCGACAATGAGGCAGCGCGGGACGGTGCGGAACGGAACGGGGCGATGTGTGTGGGACTGCCGAGTGGAGCTGATGGTGGTGCACAGTCTGTTGGCCATGCGGGTCAGGGACAGGGCAATAATTCTTTGGTTTTCACATTTTGCAGGCGCTGTCGAAAATCCTTTTGCGGCTTATATTCATGCGGGACGACACATGTCAAAGGTCAGCCGAACGCAGACCAGCCCATTTACCCCCACACACAGGCAGACACATAATATCATAATAATAGTAAGCACTAAATAACATAATAATACTAAACATCTGTTAACACTGGAGCGCGCGCCGCCATCTTGAGACGCTGTTGCCCGCGCCATATGGCAACGCCTTTGCGGCAGCGTTGCCAGCTGTCGCTGCAAAGAAAAGAGTTAAGTTCTAAAAAATAGCTGAATCAGCTTTTAAAACACAAATTGACAAGGTTGTGCACAGGCTTGTTCAGGGCAAATTCAAGGAGCTGCCACCTTATGCGCTGCTTCCCATGCAGCTGAACTGGGAAGCAATGCAGCTAATATTTGAACTGTATTTTGTTTTTTTTTCAAATACTTTCGCCTTTTCAGTTGACTGGCAATCTCCTCTAAGGCGATGCTAGAGCTACAGTTGAGCCGACAATCTACAAGCTTCTGCTTGGCACTTTTTCATAGTTTTAATTGGCATAATTCGCAAGTACAGCAAAATTAACTGGCTTTAAGTTACGCTGCATTATTTTAAATAGTTTAGAATTCCAGTTTCGAACAGGTTCGCAGCTTTCGCACATAAAAAATGCCAAATATGCCTGAATCGCAACTAGCCGCAACACTTTACCTTGAACATAGCAAAAAAAAAAAAACTAGCTGAATGGGCCACACTGGTTGCGAGCGGGTGGCGCACGCGTGCGGCCACACTTTGGTTGCACGCAGTCTGGCAACGCTGCAGATCGTCGCGTGCCTGTAGCCTCGCATGCGGTCGGGCAATTGTGCGGCAATTAAAGGGAATGAAAAGTCAAAGCGATATCAAAACTATTACAAAAGCGAAAAGTTATGCTGTCTTCTATTTTATACTCCCTTTTTTTTGTTTTGTAAGTGAATATGATTGCATTCTAATGTCAGACATAAATTAGCGGCTCGCACGCCATGCATATGCAGCCGGGGCCCACACACTGCGTAACTCGACACCCACACAGACACACGCATGCATTACGTGACGGGAGTATGTGAAACTTTTCAACTTGAACAAAAAATGTACTATATGCTGAAAAATATAGCAAAAAAAAAAAAAAACAAACTGCAAGGAAAAATGAATGTGCGAAAAATTCGCGCAGAGCATGAAAGGGATAATGGAGCGGGAGCGGGAGCGGGAGCTGGAGCCGGAGCAGGAGCCGGAGTCAGAGTCGGGTCGGAGTTACGACATTTTGTGCGGTTTCGCGTGCCACAAGCATGTTGAAACGTGTCTGGCGCCTGCTGTGACTTTGCCCAGCTGTGGCCCGCGGGACAGCCACTTGTCGTGGTGGGCGTGGCAGCAGCTGCAGTTGCCTGTGGATGAAAAACTGCCAGGGATTACGTGGAGTATTGGCTTAGGATTGTTGGATAGTGGGGGGGGGGGGGGGGGGGGGGGGGGCGCTAAAAGTTTTGCCGCTTGATTTTCATGTTGATTATAATCTTTAGTTTCGAACATGATCGCAGCACGTGGTGCGGAGTGCAGAGTTTGAGCGCAATTATGTTTAAATTTAAGCAATTTAGTAATTTGCTTGGCTGACTAACAAGTCTAGGCTTTGATTTAGCTATAAATGCAAAAATTTGCTGGAGCTTTCGTTCGTTTCGTTTTTCTATAAGCCTTAAATTATAATCAAATCCACATCGATACGCTAATTAAAATCAAAGTATCGATATAAGCTATCTCAAGCTCTAGTAGAACCCAAAAATAGTGCTCAGTTTTCGCTAAAGGTCTTAACCTGAGCTTAACTCCGCAATGAATCGTGTATTGGCAGTATTTTTCAGCGTTTTTGCTGTTGTTATTGCTAAAAGCTAATCGAAAGAGGATTTGCCAATCGATATGGGCTGCACGTTTCGCAGCAAATGGGCAGCACTGTTTGTGAATTGACTTCAGCCCTGGCAACGGGCCGGATACTTTTTTTCACGCTGTGTCATTGTGCGATTCAGACGTAATCCGACCGAAATCTAATATTCCTCTATTCGACTTGTAAGTAAGGAAATATGTTTCAATGAAAAAACCAAAGCGAAGCGCGCTTTCTTTATTAGTTTTTTTCTGATTGCATAAGGTTTCAAACGACAAGCTTTCGAACATGTCCTGTGGTAATGAGCATGTGCAGCAGGAGAAGTACACGCCGGCAAACCAACAGCCGATCTACATACACATACCGCGCTCCAGGATCATCATACTGAAGCTGGGCAAACAGTATCGTCGCCTCTATTTGGACGTACAGCCGACAACGATGGCTGAGCGTCGCGCCCGGCTGGCGGAGGCGCAGAGGGCGGCGGCAATTGTGCGCCAAGTTAATCCGAAGCCCAAATATGTGGTGACGGTGATAATTGGCCCCACCGAGGTGCAGTGCGATCTGGAGCTGTTGCAGCACAATTGCGATTTCTTTGCGCGCGGCAAGCACGGCATGGCCTACGGCCTGCCCGCCTGCGATGTCAGTCTCGAGGCCTTTATGATCATATACAAGTGGATGGCGAAACCGAACGAGGTGGTGCTGCCGCCGATGCTGATGAGCGTCTTTAAGGCGGCCATGTATCTGAAGATTCAGGTGCTGATCGATCAGTTTATGGTCGAGTTTCGGGATCCGTATACGGCGCGCGAGGAGATCGGCTTTCACATGTTCTTCGGTCTGCACAAGCTGAACGTCTATGTGCCCTTTCGCAAGACGTTGCGCGTCCACAAGTATTTCCTCACGCTGATCGGCACCAAGGACTTTCTCAATCTGTGGCCCAATGCGCTCGTCTCGCTGCTCGACTCGCCCAACATATGCGTCAACTCCGAGGTGGAGGTTCTGATCGCTGTCATACTCTGGCTCCATCATGACTATCAGGCGCGCTGCTCCCACACCGAGCAGCTGCTCGGCTGCGTTCGGTTCGATAGCATTCCTTTGGAGGCGCTGCTCCAGCTGCGGCAGCACACCTCCATCAATGGACTGGGCCGGCTGCTCTTTCGGCCGGAGATCGAGATGTTTCTGAAGCGTGCCCCCTCGCATAACAACAATATACGCTATTGCAATCGCCGCATCTGGGTGTACGATCAGCTCTGCGAATATCATCATGACGCGCATTGCCCCAAGCGCAACTTTATCACGCTCGGCCAGTTTAAGGCGTTTCAGTTGGCCCTGCGCAACGCGCCCGATCTGCACTGGTGGCATCGCCATCAGCTGAATCCCTATGTGCACAATTGTCGCCACGAGAAGTGCCGCCGCCTATCCGGACCGCATGGTCGTCGATAGGCCGATGACGGATGATGCCCTGGTTGAAAGGATTCGCCATATACCCCCATATACGTGCTTCGTCCTTTGAATGGATCCAACATGATATCATATCGCAGCATCACATATTTCAATTCAGTTTTGGATTTGTGGCGAGCACCTAACCTCACTCTAACATATTTATTTTGGACACAACTGTACTAAATTGTTTCAACAAAAAAAAAAAAAAAAAAGCTGTTAAAACTTGAGTTCCTGCCATGCGAATGCCTTCCATGGCAATTGTGAACGCAAGTCTCACAGCTTGACGACAATTTCTTTTGGAAAAACTTGTCCTGCGCTTAACTAAATGTTCGATATGAACAAATGGATTGTTCCAAGCCAAAACTAACAGAAATTTTAAAGAATATAATAAATGGCAGGGCCTCTTCCATTGAGGAATGAGACAAAAGAGTATTCGAATATTCATTTATTAGAACTTTATTAATTCAAGTTCTGATGAATGTAGAAAGTCTTTTCTGATACTTTTCCACACTAGTGAGCCATTTAAATGCATTCGTACTGCTATGAAGATTAATATAGAGATTCTATGCAAACTTATTCCACATATTTTCCACTGTTGCGGGTGGAAACTGCGAGTGGTAGAGGAAAGACTCGAGGCTTAGGTTCTTGTATCAACAACTTGTTTGTTTCTCAAAATATGATTACCAAACTTAAAATCAATCAATTCACAATTATTCAATATCCAATATAGTTATCAGCAGGCGCTTATCCAATCGTGCCTTTATATAAAATATATATCTTATAGCAACAGCCTTATAAATTTTCCATTGAATGTGTAAAGCATGGAAGCAGACCTCCGACTTCATCGAATATACATATTCTCGATGACCGTAATTTCTTATATTTTTTTTTTTTTTTAATTTTTGACCAAACGCAAAGCTCTACACTGTAGACTGTGTTTGGCATCCGAAAGATACCGTGTTGCGGCACACACTCGCATACAAATCTCAGCTCAGCATCAGCTTTTCACAGACTGATGCAGTTTGTGCGCTGGAACCGAACTGAAAACTCATTTATAGCTTATGCTGTGATTGTGTGCTGCAGATGGGAGCGGGGCGTGGCGGGGAGATTGGGGGCATTTGGGCCAAGCTCTGTTACGGGCTGGAGTACCAAATGCTTTAGGCCAGAAGTTCAGCTGCCAATTGCAGTTTTCGGTTTAGCTGGATCTGACATCCGTTGAATTTGGGTCTAAGGAGAATTGGGCCTTTGTCGCCCAGGTTTGTTAACGAGTTTCCCCTGTTGCCGATTTTTCAATCCATATTGCAATTTGTGCTTTGATATTTCGCATTCCTCGTGTGGCTACAATTGCCGAGAGCGTTACGCATGTATATCCATTAGCTGTCAGGTGAAATATTTGCACTAATTGCCATTTGGCATTTGGCATTTGATGGGGTCAAGCGAACTTTCCAGGGTCCGGTCAAATTTTCCAATTAATCATTTTCTGATTTGGCATTGGGACTGTGCTTAGCTTTTGGGGCGTGCCGGGCATTTCACGCGCCGTTAAAGTTTAATCGAAAAAGTATTTTTGTGGCCAATGAAAATTCCAATAACGAAATTCATCGCAACAACAAACAAAATGAACTTCTTGAGTTTCGTTTATGTCCGAAGTTTTTCTTTGCCCCCGAGCCCCGACCAGGTGCGCTGGCCACACAGTCCCTGTCTGACTGTGCCCCCCACCCCCAGCCCTCCCTCCGCTCGTAATGATGAAGTGCAGCCTGCAATTGACAGTGTCAAGAGGAAGAAAAACCAAGCAGAAGCAGAGGAAGAGAAAGAGGAAGAAGCTGAAGAGGGACTTGTCAGGGCTGCGGCTCAACTTTTGTGGCGTTAACACAAAACTTTGCGCCTAAACGCGCAATTAAACCAAATTCAAAATTCAAAATACAAAACTTTACAACACTGGCATATTGCATAGCTTGTTGGTGAGTGTGGGTTGAGGAAGCGATGGTGCGGGGAGGCGGGGGGAGAGCATTCTTCAGAACAATGATAAAGTGCTCCATATTCGAGCATATATTATATTGTTTTGATGAAATGAATAAAGTTTTGCCTCAAGGCATTTATTATGGCATTATCATCATTCGAGATAAATGTTTGTAAACAGCTTTCGGTTTTAGGCACTTGCATGCTTCTTCTTCTTTATCTTTATCTCACACTTCCTGACAAAGACGAAACTCTTCAGTGAATAATATATGGCTGGCGTTACGAAAGTTACCCGATTCAAGCTAGGCAGCTGCCTTCTAACACAGCCGAAATCGATTAAATCCACTCGCTTTTGTGGAAAATAGGTGAAATATGCACAATTTTATATGAAAACTATTCCATTCTCTTCTTTAATAGTTGAAAATAGGCAAAACTTGTTGCAAGGAATTATTTAATTTCTTAGGCGATACGCTCATTAAGCTCAGCCGAAAAATCCACTGCACTTGCGGAAAATGGGAGTCGAAGGTTCGAAAGGGTTCGAAACAGGCGAAACTTCGATGGAAAGTCAAAGAAAGATCTTGGCTAAGAATCGCATAATTCTAGTTGGGAAAGCCAAAGAGTAGGAAGATAAGAAAAGAAGAAAAGGTAAATTAAGGTTTTTGGGAAATTCCACCTGCTTTTGTCGAAAATTGGCGAAAATCGAGTGTAAAAAACATTTCTGTTTCTTTTTCGATTCATATTAAACTCATTTCAAAGATCTCTGTGAAAATTTGAGACGTTTTGCAGACCTTGTGCAAAATCCACCCCGCCTCAATGGAAGATGAGAGTCAACGGCTGTGCACCGCGCATAGCCGGGTAATTGCTCGTCAGTAGAGTGTAGTAAATAACTTGAAATAAAAGCATGATGAAGAAAAGAGAAATCGCTTTCCATATGGTGCTCGTTCTGCCTGGGGTTGACAGGGGAAATCGTCGAGTGGAAAGTGGAAAAGTGGAAAATTGGAAAAGTGGGCGGCTAGCACTAGCGACAGCTAGTCATGTCATATCGAGAGTTATAGAAAGAAAAAAAAAAGCTCAACACATACACAAACTGAAAATCAAAATACACAGAACATTTTGGAATAGTTTTCTGGCGGAAGCGGGAACTTCAAATATCAATACGATCATTCAAAATATTGATGGGAGACAGGCTGGAAGCGGCGCCGCCACCAAAGGAGCTGCCGGGCAAGGCCAAGACGCAGCCAAAGAGCGTGATGCCCTCCAAGCCAAAAAAGGGCAGCGTACTCAGCGCCATAGAGGACATACAGCGCATGTGAGTCAATCGATGAGTGAGAGTATAAGACAGAGTCTTACATTGTGACTTATATCCATCCGCCAGGTCACCGGAGGCGATTTGTCTGGAGTTCGATCGTCTGGTGGAGCACACAAAGCGCCACTTCAAGGAGGAACCACAAATGCCCTGCACGGGCGTCGCAACGCAGCTGCTGCGCTGCCTGCAGAAACATCGACAGCAGTCGTTCCAGTGCTTCGATGCGATGGACGAGTACCGGCAGTGCATCGGCCTGGCCACCCAGGAGCATATCGATCAGCTGGCCGAGGAGGAGCGGCAGCGGCAACAGCTGCCGGTCGCGACGCCCAAAGCGATGCCGGCGCCGTACATGCAGGCCAACACCAAGGAGCGTGGCCGTCGCAATTGGTACAAGCCCTGGACCTGGGTGCGCTAGCGACCCAATCAGCCGCCATCTCTTCCCATTAAAGTCCACCCAACTGCCCAACCCCATACAAATAGGTATTAACAAAATTGCAGGCAGCTGCGTTCAGCTTTGGATGCAGCTGCCCATTCGCCGTCTGCCCTCGGATAAATCCTTTTACTAATTAAAATGGCAACGACTTGACCAGTTCCAATGGCCTCTTCTTCTTACACCCAACTGTTGTCTGTCTGTCTGGCTAGCCAAAAGAAAAACTAAGCAGTCGGCAGCGCCCGACGAGCAGATGCCCTGGCCCAAATATTGCAGCTTCCTTTAGAAATGTGCTCTGTCATAAATTGTCCGATCCCAAGTATGAAATGTTCCTTGTCTCTTTAGACTAAACGGGCAGCTGCATGTCGAATTTCGTGATTCAAGCTACAAGTATTCTTGAGTTATCGATATTTATCGATATCTTGGCAGCACGGACAGTTATCGATAATTTGTCAGATTCTTCATCTTTATATTTCGAGTCTCTAGCTCTTATGAAATGTTCCTTGTTTCTATGGACTAAACAGTCTCGAGTTATCGATATTTATCGATATCTTGGCAGCGCGGAAAGTTATCGATGATTTCTCAGAAGCTTCATCTTAACACATCGAGTCTCTCTCGAAGATCGGGACGAACTTACAGACATGGCTAGTTGGACTTGCTTCCGCGTGGGAATATCTGCCTCCATTATACGCCATTTTAAACATTTTCAATGCGTTTCGGGTATATAACAAGGCAAAATATTTGTGCAGCACTCGGAGCTGCTTAGCCCGGAAAAGTCATGCGCCTCTCCCCTTCCCTGACTCAGCGGCCATTTGGTTGCCCAGCTGGCTCTGGACTGCTGCCAGTTGTTGCAACACTCATTCATTTGAATGTCTACATCATCTCAGCTGCCAGCAGCATGTGTCCACATGTGTGTCTGGGTGTGTGTAAGTGTGTGTAAGTGCAGGACGCATCCTTCCTGCGGCGCTGCAATTTGCAATAAAAGTAAATCTGCTGCAGCTGCAGCAGCTACTCGCACGGCAGCCTCAGACCATCCGTTGACCCGTTGACCCCACGCCCACACCCACTCGAACGCCCTCTCGTGTAGCCAGCTGCTCGGCTCCGCCTATGCTGGCCAGGGCTGTGCGGTTACAGGTTGAAAGCCTTTCGGCCACGGTAAGCAAACATTAGAATTTATTAAATCCAACTCACGGCGTCGCCTGCCGCACACGAACCTAAAAAAAATAAGAGCAAGGCAGCATTGAGATGAACCTTAAGATACCCTGTACATGAACATATGTCTCCCACTCGATGCTAGTGTAGAGAAAACCTATCGAAGTATCGATAACTATTCAAGGTATCAAATGCTTAATCGATATACTTAGCAATATAAATATATGAATAAATATATCTCCCCCAGGCAATACTCTACAGAAAACATAAAGAATCGATAACTATTCAAAGTATCGATTACTTAATCGATATAGATATATATGTATGAAAACATCTACCTCAGGCGAAGCTAGTGTAGAGAAACCGAATGCTTCATCGATATCCATAAGAATATAAATATATATATATATGACCATATCTCCCCCAGGCAATACTCTCTACAGAAGGCCTATCAAAATATCGATAATTACTCAAAGTGTCTCATTCTGAGTCGATATCCATTTGAATTTGCAAATAACTCTAATCTATTAAGCATGTGGCGTCTAAGAGCTTTAGCTTAGCTCTGGCTGAGCACAGATTTGGG